TGGGCCACACCAAGCTGCCCCGTGGTGACGATGGCAGCTTTTCAAAACGTTGTAAAAGCAAGTGGCACCTCGTGGAAGGTGGATTCCCCGATTTGGGGCCTGAGACGCCACATTTACCTTTCGCCTCTGAAATCCCTTAACGCAGATGGAATCGTTTTCTCGGTGGGCTGCGGCCCGGGGAAGCCCCCGCTCCTCGGCCGCCCACGCGTCTGGGGCAGAGGTGCCGGGAGCAGGAGGCAGGGGGAGCCGGGGCAGATGCCGGTGCGGGCGTCTGGGGGACGCGGGGACAGGGCTCGGGGACACGGATCCTCCCCGACCACCTGACCACACCTGGACGACGGTTGGCTTGGGCCTAACGCCGCCACCATCGGTGAAGGAACTTCATCTATGCGCAGCCCGCAGACGGGCGAACGGGCCTCGCACTGACGCGCTTCGCGGCCTGGGCACGGCCGCTACCCCTCACCCGGACCCGGACCGGGACCGGACCCGACAGCCGGCAGCAGACGCGCCTGCAGCACCGGCCCCGACCCCACGCGCGTCCACTCGTAAGCGAGGGAAGCAGGACTCGGTCTCGCTAGATGCCGCCGACCGCGTTCATGGTGCTCCGTGTGCTGTCGTCTGTCACCCCGCGTCACAGCGCGTGACAATCGCAACTCCGTTTCCTTTTAAAACGAGTTTAGGGTAAACAGCGGCACGAGGCTTTGAAGGGAAATGCTGAGTTTTAACAAAGCAGGTGACGCCGACACGCAGAACTGAGCAGGAGGCATGTGACTCGGTTCGAGAGACGCGGTTAAACTCGCTGACGGGCACGTGCTCCGATCCCCGCAGCCCCGTCAGCCAGCGTCGGAGACGGGTGCTCCTAGGCTTCGAGGGCCGGCGACCCCCTGCCCCCTGGGGATCGGGCTGGACCCACCGACTCCGAATGACAGGGGGCCGGTAACGGTCCCCCCCTTACATCCCCACTGCCCTGGGTTTCAAGACCGTGCAGAACTCGGACCAATTGTGACAAAAGACCAGGACGCGCGAGCTGAACGTTCCGATTACAGCATAGACAACGAACGCTGGACACAGGCTCCCCCCGCAAACGAGCTACGGAGGAAGCGGCCTTTCGACAAAACACAGCGTCCGCAGCCCGTTCCCTGTGAGGCGGAAGACGCACGTTCTGTGAAATCTGAAAACTGGCAGGTGAGACTGTACGGTTCACGTACCGTGTCCAGAAAACTGACCTAAATCCCTGTGAATAGGTGTCATTAAGTCACTTGCCCATCAAAGATGCCCTTGGCCCCACCTTCCAGAACGACCTCTGCCCAAAGGACCCTCCCTCCCTTTCTTACGAAGGAGCAAACACGGATCATCCTCAAAAAGCTCAGCGCTTCGTCCGGTTCTCTCCGGCCTCCGATGAGTGACGCACACGGCGAAGGGGACGTGTCTCGAGCTACGAGGTGACGTCGCCGGTGCTTACGCGTCAGGCACGGACCCTCACTCAGGTGCACGTACAAGTTCAGAGCCACACGTGCACGTATCTTTACGAGTTCTTAACTAAGCACCCTAAAAAGCCTAATTTGTCAAAACACGGTAAATTGAAGAGCCACGGCTCACGAGTTACCGTGTGGTCAGAGCCGGGACGCGGTGCGACACCGCGGTTAGGGTGACATTTCTCCGGCAGTGACCCCGCCGCCCTCGGCGTGTAAGGTCCCACGGCGCCGTCCGCCTCGGCCGCCCCGGGCTGCAGGGGGAGCCGCCACCACCGCCCTCCCCTCCAGCTCCCAAACGCGCCTCCAAATCCGCGGAGAAAACGCAGGTGTTGACCCCACGACCGAGCTTTCGATAAAAACGTGACGAGATCCTCCTTGCTCGATTCCCGCATCTCCAGCGACTCCACTCCACGTCCCCTCACGCGTTACTCTCCTCGGCCAGGTTCCTACGAGCAGTGACTCAAAACCCGACACTTCAGACAACGATGCGAAGCCGCAGAAACCCAGCAACAGGGCTGCGCTGAATCGCGATCCTCCGCCCACGAGCGCTGCCGGCTCCACTGAGCTGAGCTCGGCGGGAGCGCGGGCCGGGTCTGGTGTGCACGGCAGTCCCCGCGGAGGCCAGCGCGGGGGCCGCTGCTTCCCGGCCGGGCGGGCGGACGGACGAGCTCGTCCAGGCGGGGCGCACGATCGCTGAGGGTCCTATTTCCATTTTCACAGCTCACTGTAGTTTTTCGACTTTTCTACATCGGCGCGTTGCGTTCGCCTCGAGATGTGGAAACGTGACCCTAAAAATAAATGCAACTCGCAATCTTAAGGGAAGATTTTGTTAAAGAAATAGAAACTGCGGAATTCTACGAGCGCCGACATCCGCCACGAGTCAGCGTGACGCGCACACTGCTCTCCGTGGCACCGCACAGGCCTCGCTCCACCGCGTTTAGCTCAGGGCGCCGCACGTGCGACGAGTCCGCACGTCATTCGCACGGAGACGTAAATTACGAAAGGGTCCTGACCGATCAGTGACCACGACTTACGTGGCCTCAGGAAGTGACAGGTCCTTCCCAGGCCGGATTTGGGAAACCTGAAGTCTACGGCACATAAAACGCTCCGCTCGCAACTCATCTGGGCTGACGAGGCTGCGCCCGGAGCCCCGGCCCCTCCATGACCCGGAGCCAGCCCCGGCCAGCGGTCGGCGGGGCCACCTCCCCGGCCTTCGGACACGCGCGTTGCTTTCTGCACGCTCCCCGTGACGCACGCGACGGTGTCCATGCTCCACAGACGAACACAACGCTCGGACGTGGTCGGGGGCTTGTCCGAGGACGTGGAGCTGCCCAGGGCAGAGCCGGACGCCCATCTGGCCGGACGGGGCGCCCGTCACGCGCAGCTGCTCTGCACATGGCGCTTTGTCACGGCCCTCGTGCCGCAGCCTCCCCCGCCACGTGGGAGGCACACGGGCCGCCTCCCGAGCCTCGGCCCGTCTCGGGGCCCCCTGCACCCTGCCCCCCGGCTTGTGAAACGGGCCAGGAAGACACCGAAGCGGACGCCACTCAGTCAGGCCCGGAAGACGCGCATCGCAGGGCGTGTGGGCTTCGTCCGGTTTCCTGACCTGCGTCACGGCCACCGGCCCGGGGGGCCCGCAGAGTCGCGCTTCATTTTTCCCTCCTACGAGACCCGAGAAGTCCAGCTGCGTTTTCGTCCGTTAAACATGTGACCAGACAGGCCAAAAACAAACACCAGCACAAACCGCCACTGCCCGACTTTGCGTCGAGAGCCCAGTGAGGAGGCGAGAGCTTCCTCCGCCTTGGAGCCCGGGGCCCCCGCCGAGGGAAACGCGGGTGCCTCAACGTGCGTGCGAACGTCCCGGGGGCCGGCCTTCGCCCGCACGCCCCAGGCGGCCAGCCCTCCCAGTGACAGAGGACAGGAGGACGGCCCCGCGGAGCACAGGACGGCCGTGGGGACACGAGCTGTGCACGCTGGGACATCGGTGACCGCGGAGCTGACAGCGCTCTCCCCGGGGCCCGCACCATGTGACACGCCGGCTCACGGGACAGAGCACACGACGCCGAGCGCCCAGCATGACCTCAGTGCTTCGGGCCGGCGTCTCTGTGTGTCACGACCACGCTGACGCTGGACACCGTGGCCACCGGCACCCGCCCGTCCCACGCGGCCACCACGCCGCGTCCACCCTTCTGCCCAGCACACGCCTTGCCGACATGCTGGCCGAGGTGGGGGCCCCAGGGACAGACAGGCAGCCGCACGTACCTCGACGATCCGGTCGTGCACCTGCAGGCCCCCATCCCTGGCTGCCGGCCCGCCGTCCGCGACCCTGGACACGAAGATGCCCGCGCTGGACGGTCCGTCCTGTGGAGAGAGGACACATGCGTGAGCACCGCCTGCACCGGCCCCGGGACCGGCTCACGCGCAGCGCAGCGTGGGCCCCCTTCAGCCCCGGCCTGAGAGCGCGGGGTCGAGGGCACCGCCGGATCCCCCTCGGAGCTGCCACGTCCTCCCCACACGGTTTCGTGAGACGCAACAGCTTTTTCACCATTTCGGAAATGCTTCTAATTTCCTAACACTTAGCGGCTTCTCGACATCGGAAGATCTGGTGGTGCAAACAGCCGCTTCAGCTCCGTCCCGATTTGCATCAGGAAAGTGGCCGCCACCAGCCCAAACCTGGCCGCCCTGGCCTCACTGTCCGCAGACCACGCAGCTCTGGGCGTCTGGACCGGAACTTTCTGGGAGGAGGACGGCTCGCTGCTCACGCCCTTTTTTCTAAACCTAAAAGCTCCAGCAGCTCAGAGGGAGCCTCGCGGCTCGGGTGGGGCCGCCCCTCCCACAGACGGCTGTGGGTTCTCTCCGGGCGCGTTACGTCCCAGCGATCGACAGACGCAATTGCAAATTAAACAGCACAGCGCGTGTCTTTTCCAAACAAACCGTTTGAACAGCAAAAGCTCAGGATGTGCTGCGGGGCCATCTCGACAGCGGTCACCGCTGCAAACTCACGAAAACCCCGTTCGTTAAACAACGAAACTGCGAAACATCTTCCTCTTTAAGCAGCACTAAAACCCCGTGTTCCGCAGAGGACGGGGCCGACTCTGGATGTGGGTGACCGCCAGCCTGCCCCTCGCATGGCGGAAACCGGGGTGGACACGCAGCCCCAGCCCCCCCCTCCCTGCCAGTCACAAACACGATTCCAGAGAAACCAAAATCACAGCCCGAAATGAGCGTCAGGTGCTTCTCCCAACATGACAAGGGCGGGCGTCTCGCTGCCCTCCCGATCCCATCAATGCCCAGTGTGCGAGGGGTCAGCGGGCTGTGGGCGCCGGGCCCGGCTGGCCATCCAGAGACCCTACTCAGCTCCGGTCCCGTCCGAACGTCCAGGGGCCTCCTTCCCACTGCGGCCTCAGCGACATGCGGGCCAGCGTGTCCGAGCAGCTCCCGCGTGGGCACCACGTGTGGGTGCAGCTGTGGACGCCTCCGCCTCGCCGGGTGCAGGCTGGGGTCGGGTCGGCCGTGAGCCCCACGCAGTCCGGTGAGAGCTGGTTCTCTCCATTTCGCACATGCACAGCCAGACGCAGAGACCTCAAGTGACTTGCCCAAGGTCACACAGCTAAAACGCAACACGGGCCAGCTCAGAATTGAGGCTACGTCGACTCTTAGATATGCTCTGAGCGCGATGCTGTCCCCGCAGAGAGAACTCGCGAAAACACGTGACTTCAGAGGACCAACAGTCCAGGCTACGGAATATTCCAGCAGAGCAACCAGAGGCGTCTCAGAGAGCCAGCGAGGATCAACGGGCAGCCTGAGCTCCCGGAGCCGACGTCCACAGAGCAAGGAAGAGACGGGCGTCCACTCTGACCCACTGTCCCGCATCTCCTGGTGGGCAGGGCTGCGGCTGTGGCTCTGGCGCGTTTTGCAGACACTACGTCCAGCACAAGCCCGCGTCACTCGACGTGGCAAACCGCACTGCTGTCCTGCGTGAAGGAGCTGCCCCAGCCGCCCGGGGGGCAGTAGCCACCAGCCCGACGGGCCGGCTGCCGTGGACACCGGGGCGGCCCTCGACTTCCCCACCGAGATGCGGCCACTGCTGGGCGGCGACAGCTCCCGTCCCTTAGGGCTCAGCGTCACCACCTCCCACCCTGCTCAGCGACGGCGGCAGGGTCCCTGCTCCCTGGAACCCACATGAGCCACCGTCCCCACACGTGCCACCGTCCCCACACGAGCCACCGTCCCCACACGTGCCACCGTCCCCACACGTGCCACCGTCCCCACATGAGCCACCGCCCTCCGGCCTGTCACTCGGATTTTCTTGTTTTCTGCCTGAGGTCCCAGCAGGACAAACTCAGCGGCCAGAGACCCAGTGTCCGGGGCCTCCAGCATGTCCCCCAGCCCGAGCAGACAGCTCTGGTCGACAGCCTTTGTCAAATCAGCTGCTTAGGTCTCCGGTCCCTGCCTTTGACTAGTTTCCTTTAAGGCTGATAACGAGGAAACAGCGAAATGAACGCACGACG